GAGTTCAGTACAATTTAATTAAAGCTTTTAAAAGAAAGGGACCTCAAAAGCCATCTAGCTTCAAAATTTTGACACCAAAATACCTAGGTCAAAATCTAGGTCAAATCCAGAGGTTTTCCTTATTTTTGCGATTCTGACACTACACTTTAATTATATTCCTCGAAATTGTGTAGACATGTAGCCAAGAGTGTGCTGATAGTGTTAGCCTTTTGCCGTCAGAAAGTATTTAAACCCACTTTTGAGATATGGTGTCCGAAAAGTAGGTCAAAATAAAAAATTCTCCAAATTTAACGTTTGAGTTATGAATTAAGAACAGAATTTTCTCAGAAATCCGAATCTGCGAAAGTCAAGAGTAGAGAAGAAAATATTGAAAAATTCATCCATCCTTCCTATCTGATCCTATCCTTCCTATCTATCCTTCCTTCGTATCCTTTCCTTCCTATCCTTCCTATCCTCTCCTATCATATCCTTTCTTCCTATTCTGTTCTATCCTATCCTTCTTTCTTATTCTATCCTATCGTTCCTTCCCATTCTATCCTACCTTCCTATTTTATCCATCCATCTTATTCTGGATGACTCAGCTTATTCTGGATGACTCAGGTTATTTTATATGACTGGGCTTAAAAAAGTCTAGATCTGGAGTCTGAAATTGAACTTCGTTCAATTTCCAAAGTCTAGTTCTTCTTCTTATTAGACTCCAGATGAAAATCTGGAGTCTATTGCTTTTGCCAGTTTTCTTATTATTAGACTCCAGATTGAAAATCTGGAGTCTATTGCTTTTGCCTGTATTCTTATTATTATTATTCTTATTAGCACGATTTCTCAGTAACTAGAAGACTTAGAGTAAATCTAATTACATGGTCATTCAGGGTATGTGACCTAGTTTCTGGGAAATTAGGTCAAATTTTTATCTAGGTCAAAGGTTAAAATTAAGGTCAATTTTTCTAATTTCACAAATTTTCAATTTTCTTTTTAATCTATCATTATTTCTGGCGATGAATTAAATTATAGCTCCTTCTAAGTATTTCAAACATTTCGCTCACTCTATGTCTCGATGAAAATTTTACCAATTTTTAGAAATTTGACTCCAAAAAAATGGTGAAATTTAAATTGTTCCAAATCTATTGAGATTAGTCTCAATTTAACAGGAAATTATCTCAGGATTCCAAATCTGAAAACAAAATTGTGATCCGACTTCCGGTTCAGGAGTTACCACATTTTGAAATTTCAAAAAAATGATATGATGGTACCCTGATGGCATGTCTACCTGACCGTTAATTTTCTCATTTCTCATTAATATCAAAGTTCAAATTAAGGTTTTAATAGAACATTTTCTCAGGATTGCGAAACTGAAAACAAAATTGAGATCCGACTTCCGGTTTAGAAGTTATGGGCTTTTGAAATCTCAAAAAAATCCCACCGCTGCCACCAAATTGTAACAATCTCAACCCTTTCATTAATATCAGATCTCAAAATGGTTTTGAGATAAACAATCTAAATCTGGAGTCTTGAATTGAACTTGTTCAATTTCTCCAATCTAGTTATTCTTCCTCCTTCCCAGATTTCTCACCAACTAGAAGAACTTACTTTAAGCTGCTTACATGATCAACTAGGGAATGTATCTGGGATCATGGGAAATTAGGTCAAATTTTTATCTAGGTCAAAGGTCAAGAACTAGGTCAAATCGACATTCTGTCAATTATCTTCGTTGTTGTTTATCGTTACTCCTTCATCTTTGTTTCATCATGTAGCTTAGAAAAAAACAAATCGAGAGTGTGTCATCCGTTTTTGATTATTCTTACCGATTTTGAGATATGGCGTCCGGAAAGTAGGTCAAACTAAAAAGTTAACCAAATTTAACATATGAGCTATGAAATAAGTGTAGAATTTTCTCAGGAATCTGAATCTGCAAACCAAATTCTGATCCGACTACCGGTTCGAAAGTTATGGCGTTTTGAAAATTTCGAGAAAAATCGATCTGATGTTATCCTGATAGAAAGTCAAGAGTAGCAAAGAAAATATAGAAAAAATCATCCATCCTTCCTTCCTATCCTTTCTGATCATATCCTTCCTATCTATCCTTCCTTTCTATCCTTTCCTGCCTATCCTATCCTTCCTTCCTATTCTATATCCTATCATATCCTAGAACTGGGTCAAATCTTACATTTTCAATATTCTATCAATTATCTTCGTCGTTATTTATCGAAACATCTTCATCTTTTTTTCATCATGTAGCTTATAAACAGCCCTTTTATAAGTGTGCCATCCATTTTTTGATAACTCTTACTGATTTTGAAATATGGCGTCTGGAAAGTAGGTCAAAACAAAAAACTCTCCAAATTCAATGTATGAATTATGAATAAGGGGTAGAATTTTGTCAGGAATCCGAATCTGCAAACCAAATTTCGATCCGACTTCCTGTTCAGAAGTTATGGCGTTTTGAAATTTCGAGAAAAATCGATCTGATGGTATCCTGATAGAAAGTCAAGGAAAAAAGATTTTTTTGAAGTGTAAAATACGAGATATAGACAGAGTACAGCTTAAGATAATGAATTCCTATAAAAGAAGGGGACCCCAAAAGCTTCCTAGTTTCAATATTTGGATACCAAAATGCCATAGGTCAAAATCTAGGTCATATTCATAGTTTTTCCTTATTTTTGCGATTCTGGCACTACACATTTAAGATTTGCTTCAAAATTTTGTATACAGGTAGAAAAGAGTGTGCTAATAGTGATAGCCCTTTGCTGTCAGAAAGTATTTTGACCCATTTTTGAGATATGGCGTCCTAAAAGTGGGTCAAAATAAAAAAATCTCCAAATTTAATGTATGAGTTATGAAATAAGGGTAGAATTTTCCCAGGAATCTGAATCTGCAAACCAAATTTCAATCCGACTTTCGGTCAAAAATTCCTACTTACCTACCTACCTACATACCTACTCTGCTACCTATTTAGCTACCTACTTCTCGGCTACCTACTCAGCTACTTACTCAGCAGCTTACTCAGCTTCCTTCTCAGCTACCTACTCAGCTACTTACTCAATTACTTAATCATCTACATACTCAGCTTGCTACTCAGTTACTTACTCAGCTACCTACTCAAGTAAATCAATCTGGAGTCTTAAATTGAACTTTGTTCAATTAACCAATCTAGTTATTCTTATTTTTCTTTTTGAGTTTTTTCAGTAACTATAAAGTATCCAGTAAAGACCATTATACAGTTGATTTAGGTTCAGTATCTAGTTGGTGGGAAATTGGGTCAAATTTTTATTTAGGTCAAAGGTCAAGAACTAGGTCAAATCCAGTACTTTGTCACTTTTTTCAATTTTCTCAGTCGTCCTTCAATATTTTCGATCCAGGTTTTTTTCATTGTGTTCCTCATAAAAAAGTAGGAAAGCTAGGGTCGATTTAGTTTTTTGATATCTCAAACCGATTTTGAGATATGGCATCCAGAAAGTAGGTCACACCAAAACGTGCTCCAAATTCAATGTATGAGTTATGAATTAGGGGTAGAATTTTGTCAGAAATCTGAATCTACAAACCAAATTTCGATCCGACTCCTGGTTCGGAAGTTATGGCATTTTGAAAACTCAAAAATCGCTAAATTTTGTGCCCATGTTAAGTCAATGGGAAAAAAGATTTTTTTGAGATGAAAAATACGAAATATAGACTGAGTTCAGCTTAATTTAATGAAAGCCTTCAAAAGAAGGGAACCTCTAAAGCCATCTAGCTTCAGAATTTGGACACCAAAATTCCTAGGTCAAAATCTAGGTCAAATTCAAAGGTTTTCCTTATTTTTGCGATTCTGACACTACACTTCAATTATATTCTTCGAAATTGTGTATACATGTAGCCAAGAGTGTGCTAATAGTGTTAGCCTTTTGCCGTCAGAAAGTATTTTGACCCACTTTTGAGATATGGTGTCCGAAAAGTAGGTCAAAATAAAAAGTTCTCCAAATTTAACGTATGAGTTATGAATTAGGAATAGAATTTTGTCAGGAATCCGAATCTGCAAACCAAATTTCGATCCGACTTCCGGTTCGGAAGTTATGGCGTGTCCGAAAAGTAGGTCAAAATAAAAAGTTTCCAAATTTAACGTATGAGTTATGAATTGGGGGTAGAATTTTGTCAGAAATCTGAATCTGCAGACCAAATTTCGATCCGACTTCCGGTTCCGAAGTTATGGCGTGTCCAAAAAGTAGGTCAAAATAAAAATTCGCCAAATTTAACGTATGAGTTATGAATTAGGGGTAGAATTTTGTCAGGAATCCGAATCTTTAAATCAAATTTAGATCCGACTTCCGGTTCGGAAGTTATGGAGTTTTGAAATTTCGGAAAATCGATCTGATGGTATCCTGATAGAAAGTCATGAGTAGAGAAGAAAATATTGAAAAATTCATCCATCCTTCCTATCTGATCATATCCTATCCTATCCTTCCTATCTATCCTTCCTTCGTATCCTTTCCTTCATATCCTTCCTATCCTCTCCTATCATATCCTTTCTTCCTATTCTGTTCTATCCTATCCTTCTTTCTTATTCTATCCTATCGTTCCAACCCATTCTATCCTTTCCTACCTTCCTATTTTATCCATCCATCTTATTCTGGATGACTCAGCTTATTCTGGATGACTTGTTTTATTTTAGATGACTGGGCTTAAAAAAGTCTAGATCTGGAGTCTGAAATTGAACTTCGTTCAATTTCCAAAGTCTAGTTTATCTAACAATGGTATACTTATGTATGCATAACTACATGTATGAATTTTTAAGGAAATATAAATCATCTGCATAAAAGATGTTATTCATTGAGAGGTGTTAAATACGACCGAATGTCAGAATGATATTTTTGGATATTAATCACTGTCTAACTTACAATTGAATAAAGCATATATGTTGGAAACCATTTGTCATGTTTAGACAATCCTTGGTCCTAGGATAGCTAAGGAATTTCAATGTTTTCCATAGTCCGTTCTTGATGGATGGTTTAGAAGAACCAATGATGATTTCAAGTGACAAATTTTCTTCTGTCAGAGTATCCCTCGATTGTTCCATTTGAGTGTTGTTTGATAATCTCAATCCTTCCTATACAAGGAAGACCCATAAATAAATATGATTTATGGCGGAATAGATGGAGTAGGCGTATAATTTTCTGAAAGAACAAATACAGGCATTATTATTGAATAATTATTATGTAAACGCAATTATCTGTAATTAGAAATTCAGTCCAAAAAGTTTTTTAATCTTCGTGATATTTGATGGCTTAAACTAAAATCGAAACTTGAAATGTGCTAATGTGAAATCTGCGTATGTTTTATACTTACTTTATCGAATGTTCTCTCATATCCTAAGGCAAACTCTGGAAATAAATGTTGTGTGACTCTAGGTTTGTCTATCGCTGTATGAATATCTTCACCAAGCCACAAAACCCTCATTATAACCTGAAATAAATAAGATTATTTTAAGTTAATGTTAAAATGTTTAAATGTTTTTTCTTCAACCACGAGGTGAACCATTCTCCCATTAGTTTGATAACAAAGACTGATTCACGTTTACATTTTGAGAAAAGTATTACACGTTCCGGAGATCCAGCTGACCTATTATAACTAGAAAACAGCAACTCCACGGATTAGCAAATCCCACCGAACAAAACATGATTTGATAAATAGCGGCCTATTTTGAAAATCTCCTCTTGAACAGAGCTCCCTTGTCCCTAGGTGTAAGCATATGAACCAAATCAGTCTACTGGTATTTGATCATCAAAGATTATAGTTTTTCTACAAAAAATGGCGGCCATTTTGAAATTAAGTGGCCTTTTTGAAAATGTCTCCTTGAGCAGAGCTCCATTCTCTCTAGGCATCAGTATATATTTCAACCAAATCCGTCGACCGGTATTTGAGTTATCAACGATTATGTTCTTTTACGAAAAATGGCGGCCATTTGGAAATTCAGCTGCCATCTTGAAAATTCCTTATCGATCAGAGCTCCTGTATTCCTAGGCATCAGCATATACAATTTGAACAAAGTCTGTCTAATCGTATTTGAGTTATCAAATATAACGTTTTTTCATAAACATGGCAGCCATTTTGAAAAACAGCAGCCATCTTAAAAATGTCTTCTTGAGCAAAGCTCCTTTGTCCCTAGGAATCAGTATATAAAATTTGAACAAAATCCGCCTACTGGTATTTGAGTTATCAAAGATTTCGTTCTTTTACGGAAAATGGCGGCCATTTTGAAAGTCAACTGCCATCTTAAAAATTCCTTATCGCGTAGAGCTCCTGTGTCCCTAGGCATCAACATATAAGATTTTAACAAAATCCGTTGACTGGTATTTGAGTTATCAAAGATTACGTTTTTAAGAAAAATGGTGGTCATTTTGAAATACAGCAGCCTTCTTGAAATAGTCATCTTGAGCAAAGCTCCTTTGTCCCTAGGCATCAGCATATACAATTTGAATCAAAACCGTCAACCAGTATTTGAGTTATCGCCCGGACAAACGGACGAACGGACGGACGGCTTTCCTATATCCCCCTCGAACTTCGTTCTGTGGGATAATAATTCAAAGACAAATTATTGCTCCAATCTATTGACATAATTTGAAATCAGCTCACATGCAGGGTCTCCATAAAGCCCGGTATACATACACCAATGGGGCAATTTAGGGACCTCGTGGGATTCCGTCGGATTTTGCCTCATCGAGTCCCATGAGGTCCCACGTGAGACTCGATGGGATTCGATGGGGCAAAATCCCACGGAGTCCCATCTTGCCCCATCGAGAATGAACATGTTTATTCTTTCCATGGGGCATTGTGGGATTTTTGATCATATGACGTGTTGTGTGAAGCCCAACATGCAATGGGCACGTTGGGATTTGATGGGACTCCATGGGGCTCAATGGGACTCCATGGGGTACGATGGGGCAAAGTCATCAAGGTTCCATGGGACTTCGTGGGATTCGATGGGGCAAGTTGGGATTCGATGAGGCAAGATGGGACTCGATGGGGCAAGTGGGATTTTGCCCCATTGGTGTATACCGGGCTTAAGATCTCTTTACACTTTACGTAGACGTTGTATTGTAATTGTAATATATTTTGTGGACACACTCTGTATTTATGTTAAGACATGCTTCCAGCTTACCTGTAGTAGTGCAGGAGTAATCTGCTTTCCTCCAGCACCACCTATGACGTAGCGGACCTCCCCATTGTCATCTACAAATATTGTTGGTGATTGTGAGGATTGTGGCCTCTTTGAAGGTGCCAACAAGTTAGCTTCATGGTTCTGTAAAATAATCGATTTTTGTGTCGAAAACATGACAGTGAAAGACACACAAACAGACAGTGAACACACAATTAAGTATCTATAAATTATAATTCAATGTCTCGAAGGATTATGATAATAGTAACCTGCAGAAAAACCACGGTTCTTCATTAAACAGATAAGAGGCGCACATGGAACATGGTGGAACCTTGAAAATTAATAGCTTTATATACTACAGGATCCCATTGAAAATATTTTCACAGCCACCTTATATCAGGTGTCCCAAAAATGAGCCACTTTTTGACAAGTATTATCTCGCCAACTGATAAACCAAATCCACTGAAAATTTGTACAATGTAGTCTGAGAGTATCATTAGTAAGATGTAAAAATATAAAAAAAAGATCAAGTAAATATTCTGTGAGAACTAAGAAATTCAAAATAGCTTGTCAAAAATTCCCATACTGGAGCTCTGATATGAGACCTCTTAAATAGTGTTTGTACCAGCTATCATCTTTGCACGCTCGGTCTTAGCGTTCGATGGGAGATAGGAGTAATGTCTAATTAATTATATTCATTCCAAAATCCAAATCATTCTCAAAATCCATTGGAGGTGATATTGTTAGAATGAATACGGAAAAGTATTTGCTTGGAAATGGATTAATAAGTCACTTTTACATTGATATTGGTTATTTTGACATACACTCCCCTCCATAAGTTTGGCAACCTTAGCTCCCCCATTGAACTACGTGTTACAGTCTCTTTACCTTTGAATTTTTATTTACTTAACCTGCGATGAAAATACTTATACTATTTTTTCCTCAATTACAATAGGTCGAAAATTGATGATTTTGATGAATTTTTGAAAATCGACATTCCCATTTTAACCAATGGGAAATGGTAGGTTTGCCGCAAGTCATATGACAGAATATCTATCCATCCGAGTTCTTGCAAAAAATACAAGTTAGGTAGGTAAAGCTCTGTAACTTTAGTGTTCATCAAGTAAACTAAACACTTAGTGTACAAATAAGTTAGACAATTGAATTTTCTATATAAATATATTTTTGCTGAATCTTTTACTGAATTAGATATCCTGATTTCTGATTTAATCCGAACCCACGATTTCCCATTGATATACATGGGAATGACGATTTCCAAAAATTCATCAAATTAATCATCAATTTTCGACCTATTGTAATTGAGGAAAAAATGGGAAAATTTGGAGGTATTGGAAATAAAGTCAAGTTACGTTTCCATCAATATTATAAGTTATTTCGTCGCAGGTTAAGTAAATAAAAATTCAATCTTAAAGAGGCTTTAACACGTACAGTCTGTTACACTGCTTCAAAGGCAAACAGTTAAACCTGAAATATAAGAAATATAAATAATATTTTGCAATAATATATAGAATAATATATTCATATTGCACAAGAATGACATTTGTATATGTTGGATTGCTTGTAAATTGGCTTATAAAGTCAGACCTCAAATTACAAGAGGGCACGGGCTTATTGCACTAAACACGAAAGAATCTGAAATATACAAGTGTCATTCGTGTGCAATATGAATATATTTTTCTATATATTATGGCACAATGGTCTCTAGATTTCTTATTTTTCAGGTTCAACTGCTTGCCTTTGAAGCAGTGTAACAGACTGTAGTTCAATGGGGGAGCTAAGGTTGCCAAACTTATAGAGGGGAGTGTACTGTCTTTGATTCTAATATACACACATAATATGAAACCAATCTCTTACATATTCATGGCACTAGCAGAAGATACCCTAAAGTGCCCCAGGTAGAGATTTCAAAGTATTTGGCTCCCGTATGGAATATTATGACATGCTATCTTGAATTTCTTAGTACTTACGTAAGACTTACTCAATCCTTTTCATATTTCTGTACCTTGCTAACAATACTTTTGGGCTACTTTGTACAAATTTGGTTCATCATTTGCCGAAATAATAGTTGTCGATAATTGGCTCATTTTCTGGACACCTGATATCTTTATTTTCCAACATAAGTTTATAATAAAAATTGTTATACCTCATACTCGACATACTGATTATACAAAGGGTATGTGAAGTCATTCATCTGGTTGTTGAATATGATGCCTGTTGATTTCGAATGATGGTATGATCCAAATCTATAAAGAAAAATGATCTATTGTACCAGTGTATCTTAAATGAATTGCTCATTCTAGATATATCATGATAAAACTGACAACAAAGGATTGGTATCGATATGGTGAAAAAAATTCTCTTAAACCAATTATTGAAAACATTCTGTAAAAAACACGGTCCTTTCTTTATGAAATGTTGACTGGTTGACAACAATTTAATGCGAAAATTATTTATATATATTTTATTATTTATTATCTTATTTATTTAATTGTTTTTGTTAACATTTTTTGGTGCAATTGTATTTTGTTCCTTTCTACCAATTCTGGAGAATGAAATAAAATATCTTTCCGAACCTTGTTGGAACAAAAGAGCTTATACATTTTCTTAGACCTCTCAATATTATAGTTATAAAAGGAAATTTTGGTTGATTTAAAAACAGTATTCACAAAATTAAAACAAAAATCCCTAAAATAGATAAAAATTTAGATAAATATTTTATTTCATTAACAAGATACTTTTTTGAAATCAACCAAACTTTCTTTTGTACAATAACCTTGTTGAGAGACCTAAAAAACACGTTATGTTTATGTCATTTTGTTCCAAAGAGGTTCGGATAGATGTTTCATTTCATTCCGAACATATGATACAAAGAACAAAAGAACTGTCTGGAGTGTTTTCTAAAACAAAATAGAGAAAAATGTCTATTTATTTTTCAAATTATATTGTTACCATCCAAAAGATGACCATTAGATTGACGATGTCAGAAAATTTTTGATGACTGGTTTAAGAAAAACGTGTCTGAAAAAGTAAACCATATCGATACCCATCCTTTACTAGCGTGCGTCTCAAACTCTGTACACCGAAAATGCTATATTATATATACATGGTCTCAGTTTCGCTAATTTTCTAAGGGATTCTATGTGATTTCTCAAATAAAATGCCACAGAACAACTTACGGAGTGTTGATGGAAGATGTTACTGCAACAGCGTCTCCATTTGGGGCCATCACGGATATATGCAAGGTACCACTATCTAACTGAGCTCTTTTCTTTGCATAGTAGGTCTCACTTGGATGTGCTGTCCCGGTAATTTTTCTTCTTATATCCTCAAGGTAATCATCATTTTTCATTTGTTGTAGAATCTAAGAATTTAAATTGTATTTTGTTTACAATTTTATGTGCCGCATCCTTTATTTTCACATCAATGCATTAAAAATTATACAGTATAATTGTACAATGAAGGGAATCATATGGCTTATCATCCCAATCGGTAATTTGGTAGGATGTCTAATCAATATACTTGTCAGAGTTCGATTCTCTCTTATACTTAGTTGATTATCATTCCTTTGCTAAAGTTCTGATTTTTTATTGCTAACAATGATGCCCCTGCAAAACCTGGGTACACAAAGGTATACAGTATCCAATCATTTTAAACTTTGAAGAGATTTATGAAAGTACTAGAGAATTATCTTGTAGGTGCCCATCCCAAATGAAGTTTAGATAGTATTATACAGTACCGCTTGTATATCAGCATCTCCCATCATGATTCGATGTGCAGCCCCAAACTTCATCACTTCAACCACTCTGTGCATAAACTTTACTTCACTTATGTTATCCATAGAAGCTCCTTTAGATACATTAGGTTTGAATCCTAGAATAAATAATACTATCGAGAATATGTTCCTAGCCGGGGGGGGTCATTAACAAAGAGTTCGTAAAGTTAAGTATTCCTAAAGTTCATTGTTCACAAACTGTGATGTCATTATATCTATGGTTACAATTGATTTAGGAAAGACTAACGTCTCACTTTAAGAAGTTTTTGTTAATTTCTTCTACGATTTGTACTAGTCTCAATGATGATTGGCTAGAAATATGATTCATACGACAGGAGTTTTAAAATTTCTCCTTATTTCTGGCTATGTACATGTACACAATTTACCTTGTATAAGTTCCAACATGAAGCCTAGAACTGGTCCACCACCTGGGATCGAAGGAGAGTACATGGTTAGGTGACTCAATCCTGTTGTGAATGGTTCTCCAACAGCAACTGTGTAATTTGTGAAGTCCTCTCGTTTGAAATATGGATATGGGAAATATTTAGAACTTCCCTCGGGAAATTCCTGTGAGTTGAGTTCACTTAAAAGCTCATCTGTTAAGGAGCCATTATAAAATGCCTGTATCCCTTCTTCGGCTATAATTTCCAATGTCTTGGCTAGTTTCGGCATTTTGACTATTTCTCCCACCTTTTTAATTGATCCATTTTCACATAGCAATTCACTTAGTGAACTTTTGCTGAAATGTACGAAACACGTATTGTATTGAAAAGGGTGTGTCAATAACAGATGACACTTTAGTTATCTCGTGAGATACGAATTGCTATAATCACACTCTTAGGTGAAAGACCATATTGATTTGTTGATTTTATGAGAAAATGAATGTTTTATTGAATTATCAAAAATTAATTTAGTGCTGATATTTTTTCAAAACTTCATGTGTTTCGTTCAAAAAAATCTAAGGGGAAATATTGGGTTTTACCGCCTGTTGGATTTACTTAAAATTTGTACAGATACTTGATACCATTAAGTTGATAACATTTGGGTGGCAAAAATCCTCAGTGGACATTTTGTACGTTTTCTTTTTTAGCTGCTCTAAATACATTCTAGGTATTAACTTGATTCTAGGTATAATTACATACCACAATGGTTGATCTTGCATTATAGGGTATAGGAAATGTTCGAAGTTATCCCAATGACTCAGCGCTGCATATGTGAACCTAGACATCGGAGCACCTAATCGGGCTAGTTTTATTGTTGGTTGAAAAAGGTCAGCCCATGGCAGTTTCCCATGTCTTTGATGGGCACTCCAGTAGCCAGATAGTTCGCCGGGTATGGCTATAGAGAGAGGGCCTGAAACCAAAATCTTCGTTTTATATTTATGGCTATTTTTCAATGTGAATTATAGTCAATCATCACGGGCAATAACAAACAATAATTGAAATTTTCTTTATGTACAATAACAAAATATATTCTATAATCGCAAACCCCTACTCCGAAAATGGGAATTATTCATGTCACTTCATAAACACAGTATGCATACCCTGTTATCATACATAGAATAGTTTCTATACAGCTGAATAAAGCTGAAATAATAGATTTCACTCTTGCCATTCTTCATTTTTCTTGGGTCAGATGGCCATAGCCTTCCATGTTATACACTTGCAATAGTCACTTAATTTAATGATTTATGAAAAGGTGTTGGTTGAATCTGACCATGTCAATGAACATATTGTGATTAATCATGAAATATTTGGTTGTCAAACAAATAAACCAAGGTTTAAAGAATCGAAGCTCATGAAAAAACGAGAATTAGCGAGATTGCAATGCACTATGGAAACTCCTCTATTAGTTATTGCAAGAAATCAAGAATTGTTTTTTCTCAAAACCCAGATTTAAGTAACAAAATAAATTCATGTAAAATATACTAATTGATTAAGAATGTACCACTTACCCCATTTCTTATATCTTTGTTGATGAGGTTTATATGCTGATTTGAATTCCTCACTTTTGAAATAATCTATATTTGTGGACTTTGGGGACATTTCCCTTGCGTTGATGTGTTCTGCCTTCTTGGTGCCATGGTCATATATAACCATTTGGAAGCCTTTAAAGAATAACTAATTATAGTAGCACTTTGATGTTCATATTTTGAAAAATTATTGTTTCTGTAATTGAAATGTTTTAATGTCCGATCAAATATCTCTCTTCTTTTTTTCGACTCACACAGTGATTGGTACACGGTAGTACAAAAAACAACTTTTAGTAATCGGTGATAAATTTTTCAATTTTTTTTTCGATTTTTCAATTCAATTTATTTATTTCATAATAGGTGATTAAATTGGTGATTAAAATTACTATTAGTATACTAATCAAGTATATTGGTTGTACACACATTCATTTATGACACTATGCTTTATACGGACAAAGATGTCAGATGCTATAAGGCACAATGTACAACTATCTTCCGATTCACATAGCTCTCAGAGTTATGATTCTGGTTAATTTAAGGATTTAAGCCCTGGACTCGCGTGGAATGACCAGATGCGGAGCATCGTGTGTTAGTTTTAGGAAACAGCGCCTGAAAGGAATGGTCATTACACAATGCATTGAGTCTCGGGCTTAAATTCTTTTCACACATTGCAAAATATTTTCTTCCAATGCATCAATTTCAATCTGCTGGCCAGGTTGTCACCTGAACAACCATCTAATGAATGACCTTGGGTGGTATATGGGTTATATAATACAATGCAGTGATATGAAATACTGTGTTTGGATTGCCTGGAATCGGTTACATCTTTATTGCCTAGCTACACTCCCCTCCATAAGTTTGGCAGCCTTAGTTCCCACATTGAACTACGTGTAAAGCCTCTTTACGTTTAAAAGTTTATTTACTTGACCTGCGATGAAGTAACTTATAATATTGATGGAAACGTAACTTGACTTTATTTCCAAATCGTCATTCCCATGTAAACCAATGGGAAATGGTGGGTTCGGGGTAAATCAGAAATCAGGATATCTATTCAGTAAAAGATTCAGCAAAAAAACATTCTAATATAGAAAATTGAATTGTCTAACTTTTTTGTACACTAAGTGTTTAGTTTACTTGATGAATACTAAAGTTACAGCACTTAAAAGTCATTTTTGAAGTGTTATTTCAATTGGAGAGGTTTTCTGAAAAACAATTTTGACTTTAAAGACCTATAACTTTGAACCTGAAGACACGTATCAAATTTTTTGTTAAAGCTAAGATCACACCAACGCCGAATGCCACGTTTTAAATCGGCTAGCGAAGCGCCGTCATTTTTGTTTACTTTCCAAAAATATCACGATCTCCTAAGTAATGTTACGCTCTGATAAGCTCCTACGAATTAGTTGACGCTTTGGGGGACGGATTGTTTCCCAACTTGTTACGGTTCCTCACGCTTTGATCCCGCTTTGATAGGCTTTGTTACGCTTGAAATCACGCTTTGAAAAGCTCTATTATGCTTTATTAAGCCTTGATGCGATGATGACGCTTTAAATCAGGCTCTGATACGATTATCAAGCTCTGTCGTGCATTGTTACGCTCTGTGAGGCTCTGTTACGCATTGGAAAATGCCGATATCGTCGATTTCATGCCGCTTTTGATCAAGAGCCTATGATAAAGATGCAGCAGATCCATAAAACCATTGCATCTTTGACTCCAGAACACGATGGCAGAACAACAAGATCCAGAAGTTCCAGAAGTACCAGAGCATGATCCATCTGAAGAAGACATGATGTGGTACTCAAGTCTCAGCGCTATTTATACGGATGGAGAGAGAGGGTGGGTATCGTAGGGGAGCATAAAAGAGCGTGAGAGAGCATGAGGAAGCTTGGCAAGCGTAACAAAGCCTAACAAAGCGTGTCAATCCTTGATCAAAGCGTCCCAATTCGTGGGAAAGCGTGAGAGTCCTTCATGAAAGCGTAACAAAGCGTGTCAGATCTTGATGAAAACGTCTGACCTCGTGTCAGATCCTCATGCCTTATCGTAGCAAATCTTGAGACATTACGCTTTGGGTCGAGCTTTCCTGAGCTGGTTTACGCTTTGTTAAGCTGTGATACGCTCTCGGCGCTTTAATCAATTCGTAACAGAGCGCCCCAAATTTTTAAACAGTTTTTCGCGCTCTTGTCGATTGTAAGTCAGTCCCGCTTTACCGCGAGCTTTCGCACGATCTATTACGACCCTGACGATTCAATGAAGCTTTGATACGCTTTGGTGCCGCTTTGCACCCCGCTTTCAAGCACCATCAAATCGCCGTTGGTGTGAACTTAGCTTAAATAAAGTTAGCAAATTCAATTGCCTACTTAAATTGTATTTTTTGCATGGACTCAGATGGATGAATATTCTGTCATATGACTTGCGGCAAACCTACCATTTCTCATTGGTTAACATGGGAATGTCGATTTTTAAAAATTCATCAAATTTATCATCAATTTTCGACCTATTGTCATCGAGAAAAAAATTGAGAAAATTTGGAGGTATTGGAAATAAAGTCAAGTTACGTTTCCATCAATATTATAAGTTACTTCATCGCAGGTTAAATAAATAAAAATTTAAACGTATAGAGGATTTCAAACGTAGTTCAATGGGGGAGCTAAGGTTGCTAAACTTATGGAGGGAAGTGTATGTGTGAATCTGTTTTTAACCAAACGTAGAATTTTACCTCCTCCTATGCCCATGGCATGAGGCATTTTTACGCCAAGACACAGCATAGTTGCAATAGCAGCATCAACGGCAGAACCATTTTGCGCATTAAGGATGTCCCTGAAGACAGAGTTATTCATGTCAGTACATACAGGTGAAAGGTTTGGTGTTTTCTTTGTCTAATTTTTTTTATCTTGAAAAGGACTGCGATTTGCAAGGAAACACATTTTTAAGTTTTTCAACAAAAGCCTAGCACAAAAAAAGAATAATAAAAGATAAATTCATGATCAAGACCATCAATATATAAATATTATACCTTCCAATTTCTGTGCATTGGTCATCCGCTGCTGTAACTTCGCCATTTCGTATTGAAGCATACGTACCCAGTATTGGAATGATAAAAAAGTATAAAATGACTCTCATCCGATTCATGGTGCAATGAAAACAACAAGTATTATAATGCAAAGATATGTATGCAAGGTGGGTATAGGTAACGCGGCGCAGTCAAGCATATCTGTTCAAAACGAGGCTGCAACGCGGTAAAGACACAAAATGGAGGCAACTCCAATCATCGGAGGCACTTCGTCCTCTGTTTCCTCGAAACATAGGTAGGTTTTTGAAAACTCATGCTTCACACTCGGTGATCAACCCCTTAAGGTATGTAAAGCTATAAGAATTTCTGTTCAGGCATTGACCAGAGTAAAGAAATAGTCAACGCAGATATGATTTCCCGATCCTATTTCTCTTGACCTATCTTCTTATTCCAATTAAGGAGGTATTTCGCCACTCATGAGCAAATTTACAATTTAATTTTTTTTATCTTGAAAAGGACTGCGATTTGCAAGGAAACACATTTTTAAGTTTTTCAACAAAAGGCTAGCACAAAAAAAGAATAATAAAAGATAAATTCATGATCAAGACCATCAATATATAAATATTATACCTTCCAATTTCTGTGCATTGGTCATCCGCTGCTGTAACTTCGCCATTTCGTATTGAAGCATACGTACCCAGTATTGGAATGATAAAAAAGTATAAAATGACTCTCATCCGATTCATGGTGCAATGAAAACAACAAGTATTATAATGCAAAGATATGTATGCAAGGTGGGTATAGGTAACGCGGCGCAGTCAAGCATATCTGTTCAAAACGAGGCTGCAACGCGGTAAAGACACAAAATGGAGGCAACTCCAATCATCGGAGGCACTTCGTCCTCTGTTTCCTCGAAACATAGGTAGGTTTTTGAAAACTCATGCTTAACACTCGGTGATCAACCCCTTAAGGTATGTAAAGCTATAAGAATTTCTGTTCAGGCATTGACCAGAGTAAAGAAATAGTCAACGCAGATATGATTTCCCGATCCTATTTCTCTTGACCTATCTTCTTATTCCAATTAAGGAGGTATTTCGCCACTCATGAGCAAATTTACAATTGACATTCAATAGCCTGATACTTATAGAATGTGCAATACAAATTAAGATTGAAACTTTTGTTTATTTTCATCGCAATCTGCTTACAAAATTGAACTAGCCGGAAACGCGGCGCAGTCATTTTCAGCAATTATGGCAACGCGTCGACAGCATAGATTAAATTGTATGGCAACGCGGTGCAGGCATACACGATAGAACATCAGCTGCATTGCTGTCACTGCGTTTCCAGTTTTGTCAAATATGTATGTATCTGAACCCGCGTTGCCGAAGTGTCTGAACTGCGTTTCCAAAATATACCTGGTTTTCCACCCAGAATCGGTTAACAGAAGGCAAACAGTAATGAAACTTTGAAGAAATAGAGATTGCCGTGGTATATACGTGATTTAATAGATATGTGTCAAGTGACAAAGTCAAAAACATAGAATTTAAGCTAGAAAAATGCCACAATTGTCAAATTTCAGTAAGTGATTGACTTTGATTGATTTGGAATGTATTTCCCTGATTGACTAAATTTCAAGAAGCTTCACATAGACATACTCTGTGAAGTTCTCCACCGAATGGTATATGCTATTATAACTGTAGCAGACACAAACTAGTGTATGAAGCTTATGAATAAACTTACCGCCCTTTCGACCTTCCACTGAGTGGCCATTTTGTGTCTTTGCCGCGTTGCAGCCTCGTTTTGAACAGATATGCTTGAGGTATGAGGTTCCATATCCATCCGCCAAAAGGTATGACCCCTATATAGTCCATTTAAAAACTCGTGGTATTGTTCTAAATAACGCCATAGTTGGCTTCTAGGGTACCTAGTATGCCACTATTTGGTATCAAAATAAAGAGGAGGAGTTCAACTTTCATTTGAATTACGAAAATTGCGATGTAGGTCAAAAATAGTTCCGACATGAGCATGTTTACTACGCGTTTGCCCATCATATCAGAATTGAGGAAGTGGTAGCAAACGCGAGTCACAATAAATGGACGCTGATATCTCAAAAAGTAACCTGACTCCCTATAATTTGATGTAGATCAATCGAACCCCTATATGAACAGGTACATTTTGATATATAACACTATGGGGGGTAAGCGTTTTATAGTTGGTCACGAACGCCATATGTGCAAAGTATTGTTATGAATTTTCGAATTCGGTGTTGGATTACGGTACTCATACCTTAATATGAGGCCTAAAATTGTCTGCTAGTTGGCCAGAGACCAATATTCTAGCAGAATTTGAGAACAGAATCGATTTTTTCGTTCTGCGTAGGGCAAACAATGATTTGGAATCACTTTCAACCATTCTGTGAGTATAAGAATGGTCATAAGAGGCCCGTGGAGGGTCTGGAATGAAAGAAAGCCCTCTGAAATTCCGTCAAAATTGCAGGTTATTTCTTCATTTTTTGCTAAAATGACATGAATTTCAGGGCCCATATCTCAGTGAAATTGCTACAATGTAGCGATTTTTCATTTTTACAGGCTAGATACACGTGTCAGGTCGACAGAAACAGTAAGCATATGTGATTTTTAAATTGCTACATTGTAGCAATATTTATTTCAAAATACAGGTGTGAGGGAAACTGCAATTTAGTTAGATTTGGGCGAAAATGGCCAAATTTCAGTCAAAATCCTCGGGACACAGGGCCTTTGTCTTAGATTTAGTCAATGATGCAACTCTTAGTAGAAGGTGTGCCATATAGGGAATGAAAGCTGTTTGTCAGACGTATCATTTTCTTGAATAAACTCAGAGATAGTCAGGTTAGATTTGTGACGTCACAGTGGCAAAGTTAGACTAGCATATTTAGACGTATTTGGGGTAGGGCAAATTAACCCTTTCTAGCCTAAATGGATAAATTTTTCATATATTCAGCCAGTTCCGACGTTTTTATGCATTTTTGAACTAGAAATGATATTTTCTGCCAAAAAAGTTGCAGAGACAAAAATCAGTGTGATGTCATAACACATTAAGGTATGAGGTTCCATATCCATCCGCCAAAAGGTATGACCCCTATATAGTCCATTTAAAAACTCGTGGTATTGTTCTAAATAACGCCATAGTTGGCTTCTAGGGTACCTAGTATGCCACTATTTGGTATCAAAATAAAGAGGAGGAGTTCAACTTTCATTTGAATTACGAAAATTGCGATGTAGGTCAAAAATAGTTCCGACATGAGCATGTTTACTACGCGTTTGCCCATCATATCAGAATTGAGGAAGTGGTAGCAAACGCGAGTCACAATAAATGGACGCTGATATCTCAAAAAGTAACCTGACTCCCTATAATTTGATGTAGATCAATCGAACCCCTATATGAACAGGTACATTTTGATATATAACACTATGGGGGGTAAGCGTTTTATAGTTGGTCACGAACGCCATATGTGCAAAGTATTGTTATGAATTTTCGAATTTGGTGTTGGATTACGGTACTCATACCTTGACTGCGCCGCGTTACCTCTCACCACGGTGGTATGATACGACGTCAGATACCTGGATACTGTAAATCACGACATTTTACTGCATTTTTACATGCGTACTTACCTAGAATCGCGATATCTTCACAGCAAAATCATATTTTTATACAATTTTTCGTCATAAGTTGAACATATATGTCCATGAAATATTTTGCTTATCGGAATTCCAAATGATAGATTTGGGACTTTTTAAATGAGATTCACGCAAGCCGTATGATGTGACTTTCTATGCTAAAACCGGGTGTGGACTGTAACATTTTGAAGAAAAATGATTTTAATTTTATACGAAAAATGAAGATAACTTTGTCGGATCTTTCTCAAATCTTCACAATATTTGAATTCACCATTTAAAAAACAAAGAGATTCTGTGTAATGACGTCATAATAGGCTATAACAATGCTAATTTAACGCTTATATTTATGCCAAAAAAGTGTGGACAGGCAGAATTTCGTACCAACAAGATATATATTTTGACCAATTAAACATTTAATCGTTTGAAAGGTGAATTATTCTTTTTTGATTCCTAAAATGCATATCAAATTCTATATTTTTATCAAAAAACTACGATCATTTCGATTAAAATCGAGTCTGTAAGAAGTTTAAATTGAAAGAAATATGAGGTGAAGCCATTTGAAAAATTCACAAAATTACGTTTCATATTTTGTGTTCAAATATCTCTAATTAAGGGAAACACATTCAAAACGTTCCAATGTTTCAGCATGTTCTTTTAAATATACCCCTTCCTACATACAATTAATTTAATTTAATTTGAACCTGTATATATTGAGATAGACATCGTTTTATCACCGCAACCCCGCGTGAAGCCTTTACAAAATAAGACGTTACGCCGTTAGCGTATTATATGTTCTCCTTTATTATTCATTGCTTTAAATAAATAAAACTAAATATTCGAGTTAAAATAAATTACAAATAATACATTTAACAATCCTTAATATTTACCCGTCTGTGACTATCAGTTGAATATGACAAGGGGCTCTGTGAAAGAGTCTAGAAGGACGGTGCGACAACGAGAGCGCATGGCCGAAACGCGCGACAAAGAAGAAAGCGGGTAGGGTTTGAAATGTCTACTTTCTGGTGATTCTAATTATGTATATCGTGACACAGCCCTTTTGAATATAGAATTGTATTGAAGCGCACATTAATCTGAACAAAACTTGAAGTTTTTAAGAAGATTCCACGAATATTAAAACTTTTGCAATCACTGGGAGGAGCATTGGGCATATTTATCGCGTAAATCTTTGCATTTTGTCGGTAAAATGAACAATTACAATGTTACGCCGTGATGTACAGTATCTGATATATATATGTACGGGTAAATACTTAATGTACATAATGTACAAAACAATTTTTACTTAATTAATTATATTTCTGCAGGTATAATACGGATATCCTTTTCCTGCATATGGGTTTTCAACCATAAGCAGCCTGCAGCTGGTTATCTTTGAAACGTTCTGTTTGACGTAATTGTAAGTAATTTGAAGTACTGTAATGGTGGTAACAGGTACCTTGGTATAGTGCAAATTATTACTTTGAATATTAACACGGGGGTAAAGCAGACCCGATGATGCAATGAGCTTGCTAGGCGGTATCATGACTGTGTAACGGGTCTTAATGTATAAGTGTGCTCGGCGGTAGGTTCAAACAACGCGGATCCTCAAAGCATGTGCTCATGGTATATTCGTGTTTAACACCCGTGATTAAGTTATTCTTTATCGGAATTATCAATTTTCCTTGTTACAGTAATTTTTTATAACATTCGCACAATATACCTAACTAGAGGGCCATTTCGATTACTTCGGTAAATCTAATATTGGAGTCTCACACGACAAATGAATAATCTATATATCTTTAAATTTAACTATGGAAAAAAGCAGTTTAGTTCAATGTGGCCTTATATGGAATGAAAAGCTATTTTTTATCAGAAGTTCGGAAAACATCCAAGGAAGATTGGCTCGATATTCTCGATATTCAAACGTCAATCGCCATTTGTTCACTTCAGACGCGAGTTTTCAAACATTTCCAAACGATCGTGCTGATTAATATATATAAATATAGGTTATTTCATGCTTGATTTTCAATATGAATTTTATTTCAGGGTAATATGATATAGACCGAGGGAAATATGATATTGACCGAACGAGTGTAGCGAGTGAGTGTCAATATAATATTTACCGAGGTCAATGTCATATTTCCCGTGGACTAAAATTCATATTGAAAATCAAGCATGAAATAACCTTTTTATTCCATAATTTAATTTTTGAGAATTCAAGGAAAAAGATATTTCAAGAAAATTGAAATTTTTTGGAAAAAATGAAAAACTGATTCAAAATTGCAATTTTTTTAAATAAATGAAAATCTTTGAAAAATTGCAATTTTTTGAAAAAATGAAAATTTCTGAATTTTTTTTTCGAAAATTGGAAAAAATTGGAAAAATCATTTTTTGAAAAAAATGATCTTTTTAAACAAAGGGACAATATGATTTTTTTCCAGGGACAATATGATTTTTCGAGTATATATGATTTTTTTTACAGGGACAATATGATTTTTCGAGTATATATGATTTTAAGAGGTATAATATGATTTTATTTCCCAGGGAAAACAGTAGTATTATGGAATAAATATAGGTTATTTCATGCTTGATTTTCAATATGAATTTTATTTCAGGGTAATATGATATAGACCGAGGGAAATATGATATTGACCGAACGAGTGTAGCGAGTGAGTGTCAATATAATATTTACCGAGGTCAATGTCATATTTCCCGTGGACTAAAATTCATATTGAAAATCAAGCATGAAATAACCTTTTTATTCCATAATTTAATTTTTGAGAATTCAAGGAAAAAGATATTTCAAGAAAATTGAAATTTTTTGGAAAAAATGAAAAACTGATTCAAAATTGCAATTTTTTTAAATAAATGAAAATCTTTGAAAAATTGCAATTTTTTGAAAAAATGAAAATTTCTGAATTTTTTTTTCGAAAATTGGAAAAAATTGGAAAAATCATTTTTTGAAAAAAATGATCTTTTTAAACAAAGGGACAATATGATTTTTTTCCAGGGACAATATGATTTTTCGAGTATATATGATTTTTTTACAGGGACAATATGATTTTTCGAGTATATATGATTTTAAGAGGTATAATATGATTTTATTTCCCAGGGAAAACAGTAGTATTATGGAATAAATATAGGTTATTTCATGCTTGATTTTCAATATGAATTTTATTTCAGGGTAATATGATATAGACCGAGGGAAATATGATATTGACCGAACGAGTGTAGCGAGTGAGTGTCAATATAATATTTACCGAGGTCAATGTCATATTTCCCGTGGACTAAAATTCATATTGAAAATCAAGCATGAAATAACCTTTTTATTCCATAATTTAATTTTTGAGAATTCAAGGAAAAAGATATTTCAAGAAAATTGAAATTTTTTGGAAAAAATGAAAAACTGATTCAAAATTGCAATTTTTTTAAATAAATGAAAATCTTTGAAAAATTGCAATTTTTTGAAAAAATGAAAATTTCTGAATTTTTTTTTCGAAAATTGGAAAAATCATTTTTTGAAAAAAATGATCTTTTTAAACAAAGGGACAATATGATTTTTTCCAGGGACAATATGATTTTTCGAGTATATATGATTTTTTTTACAGGGACAATATGATTTTTCGAGTATATATGATTTTAAGAGGTATAATATGATTTTATTTCCCAGGGAAAACAGTAGTATTATGGAATAATATATTTTAAATAATGATTATTCAATAAAAGTTCTGATGATACATGTTCATGTTAACTAGCACATTTTGAAAATTATCCAAGTAAATTCTTTTTTAATTAACCTAACTCGAATCAACGTTCGAAATACTGCTAAATCAGCAAGAGGATAGCATGTGAACAATGACACCGCTGACTAAATCATAAAATATAATGCATTTCCTATCCAATCGAAGAAGAAATATTTGTCCAGGGCATAAAGATCAAGAATCAAAAACAAATGTGTCATTAGGTGCCCTGAAGGATGGCCTTCGTTTTTCAATTTCATTAATTTGAATTAAACCAAAGATGGAGTAAAGCAAGTTTGAAGATTAAAGTTCCTAAAAGTTATAAGAAATACATTCCTTTTAAAGTTTTACCGGGAGTTTTACACATATTGGCAATTGATCACGATTTATATTTTTTGCACCATTCTTTCTAACCTTTTTCAAGGTGAATTTTTTTCAAACTGAACGATTCTTTTTTCCAAAATCATCTACCAGGAATTCGTACCTAACCTTTTATGTTTGAGCTTTTGTTGACAAATAAAAAGTCAAAAACGCCTTCAGGACACCGTAAGGTTGCTTACAATCATATAGAGCCAACAAAAGTTCTAAAAAGCAAACTCAATGTCCTGTTTAAGAACCCATATTCTCACTATTGAAATGGATTCTAGCAATACTATCCTACATAAATATACTTGTTGAGACTCGATCAACTTGAGTTCTTCTGAGAAAATGAGGATTTCAGCAAGGGTGCATCGGGTCCCATCATTGTATTCCATACCTACTGACTTTCTAGGTACATAACGAGCGGGAATATACAGTATACTGTATCTAGTACCTGTGTCCAGGACCGGAATGATATAAGGGTTATGTACTGGGAGGTTTTGGATATAGGGTATATCCTGAGGGATATATTTATAAATATTTCCCAAGGGATATACCCTATATCCAAAACCGACCGTACATAACTGGTGTATCTCATACTTGAGTGGGTTTAGGGTAGATATAACCCTTTCCACCTTTTCAAATGACAAGATAGGCCTATAGTAAAAGCACAATTTATATTTAATATTTTCGTTATATTCTTTTTGTTCAATACGATGAAATTGTAACATTCATATGTTAAACTTTTAAAAAACTTAAATTTTAAAATTTAAAACTTTTCAAAATTTTTGACTTTTAAACCCGGGAGAGGAATGGATATATTATATCTGCCTGCATTTGGCCTGGAGCGGGACATATACAATATATCCTGCCCGCTTCTCAGATATGATATATATTCCCAGGTGATATCTACCCCAAACCCACTTAAGTATGAGATACATAACACTTCCGGTTTCAAAGATGGAGGACGTATTTTCTTAGTGCTCCGCAAAAAACACAATAACAATCATGGATTCATTGGATTACGATTTAGTTGATCGGACTCTCAGCAATGTTCTGGATGAGTCTATAGAGACAGTCATGATTGAGATAAGTCATGATTACAATGATGTCGAATTGGAAGCAATACGTGATCGTTATTATGATATCGCTAAATCACGGATCTTGGAAACATGCAACAATTTATTCGGACCCCTAGCGCAGCGAGGAAAATCCGAAAAACCTACAGCACTAAGGCTGATCAAACGTACAGGTAACAATAAATCTATGACATTATGTAAAGACATCTGCGATCTCTACTTGTATGCGAATAATCATGTCGACGACTTTCCCCGTTCAGTTCTAAGTTCGACCAGTTTTCTCCCAGATGTAAAAAAGGCAAAACGAGAAACTATGGAAATTCGTGTTCAGTCTGAAAATAGGGATAATGTCATTCGACTTGAGGCTAAAGTTAAAGAATTGAACGCTAAAATCGTGGAAGTGGAGTCAAATTGTGATAAGGTTATAATGTCTCATAAGAAGCAAATAGATGTGTTGGAAGCCGAGGTGCACAACATGTCAACAATTTTGGACCAGTTGTTATTGTCCATAAATGTACCCAAATCGCCCACGTGTATAGAATCAAGGTCTGATACAGCTGCTTCTAAGCCAATTAACGCCACAGCACTGCACTCTACCCAAAATATAGCCATGAAATCAGTCAACTGCAATGATCGTAGCAATACTCAAGTGACTAATCAGCCTGATAAACATGATACGGGGTCAAAAACTGGCGCCAAACAAACTGTCTATACACCTGATGAAGGGTCAAAATCTGGTAATAAACAAACAGTCGTTTCATCCAACCCTTCTAAACCGAGGGAACCTGAAATTCCAATATCGTATAAATCGGCCGTCCAAAGGGGCTCCAGCTCTGGTAAACGCCTAACTAATAACCCGGCGTCTCCACCAACTAACAACACTGCAAGTGCTTCAAACGGACGTAACTCCGAAGTCTTCACAAAACTTGCCAAGAAACCAGTCAAGCCTCTTACAGGTCTCAAATTCGAGAGAACAAAAACGGTCTATGTGAGCAATATACGCATGGATTTCAATGATGAGGACGATGATGTTATTGATCGTGTTAAATCGCATGCCACTTCGATCAATTTGAACATTATTAAGATCGTCGTTGTACATAATAGATTCAATCGATATAGAGTTGGCTGTAAGATGGACATACCAGAGTCTGGATTAGATGATGCGCTTGACAGCGAGAATTGGCCACATCCGATTGAATGCAGAGTCTGGACGCGGTTTAAGACTCGTGGGAGCCGCACTGATACTACTAGGCGACAACCTGATAGACAATCTTCAGAGATCACTACTAATCTGACCAGAAAAAAGGATCGCACGCCAAGCAGGGATGACATCCACTATCAATCCCATTATCGCTCTGAATATGAGCATGATAGCAATGGCATCGACCACACTTACAATCGACACGATGATACATCCGATTATGCCTACAATACCCGATATAGTACCTTCCATAGGGATGAGCGCAACCAAGGACCGAGTACATACAGCAATGACGATGACTACAATGCTCGAGAGTACCTCGCCGATCAAGATGAGCGCATCCGCGCACCACGTAAGCAATGTGATAACTATGATTCTTATGATAATCAAAGGCCCAATCATAGGGGCCATTATGACAGTTATAACGATGATACCTGGGACTATCACCTACAAGATAATGGCCAGAGGTACCATACACGTTATCCCGCGAGCACGGATGATCGAGCTGATTGGACCTAGGCTACTTCTATTGTCTATACAGTTTTACATGTGCTTTTAATAATTGTCTGTATAAGTGTATATAGTGTAAATATGACAATCTTGAAAATTTCTGCTTTTAATCTCAATGGGTTTAACACTTCAAAGGAATATCTTAACCAGTTGCTGGCTGATTTCGATATTGTTGGAGTGTCAGAACATAAGCTCTACCCCAGTAACCTTAATAAAATGAGTGACTTTAGTAATGATTTTGATTGTTTTGCTTTATCAAGCCAACACTTAAATCCTGCCAATTGTGGTCTGGTCTGGGGCTGTGGTGGAGTTGGTATATTCTGGCGCCGTACATTGAGTTATAGTGTAATACCTATGAGGAAACTGAGCACTGATCGCATTATATGCATTCAACTTAAATGTAATGTACCTGTGTTCATTTTTTCCGTCTATTTACCACAGAGACACTGTGTTAACGATCAATTCACTGATGTCTTAGATACCCTCTTTGAATTTATCTCACAGGCTCAGCAGCTTGGTGACGTCGTAATAATTGGAGATATGAATTCTCATTTTGGCTCACTCTTTCCCGCACCAAGAGGATGGGGTAATTATACTGACAATGCTTTCTCTTTGCTGAATGTATGTATTGAAAAATCTCTTGTGATTGCGGACATGAAACAACATGCTGTTGGTCCAAACATCAGTTTTAATTCGTATACTCAACGTGCATGCACGTCATATGTTGATCATTGTATTGTTTCATCCACTTTGGAAAAATGTATTGTGAAGTGTGGATTAATCGCCGAGCATGCATCCAATGAGAGTGATCATTTGCCTGTATTTATCTTCATCGACTTAAGTAATGTCAGTCACGTATATCCTAAATGCGATGAGAACGCACCACGTCTTGCATGGCATAAATTAAGTAAATGCGAAATTCAGTCAAACTATACGGACGTTGTGGAGCGTTTATGTGGCCCATTGCTTAACGAGATACAAAATGCAGTTGTAAGTAGTAATTGTAACGGTCTGTCAAACCCACAAATTGACTTTTTTATAGAACAGTTATGTTCGAACGTTAAACATGCGTCATATGAGAATGTTCCTACTATCAAATATCGCAGACATCTGAAGCCTTTTTGGTCAAAACATCTATCAGAGTTGGTAAAAGACCGAAATAAAAAATGGAATGAATGGTGCAATATGGGTCGTCCGAGAGACGCCAATAATGAGTATCGAATTAGATATATAAATGCCAAAAAGCTATTCAGGAAACGATATAAAACTGAACAATATCAATATGAGCAAAATGAATTAAGAAAACTTCATGAATCAGAGGGATTGAATCCAAGAATGTATTGGCATTTAGTTCAAAAAAGTAGAGGTGGTTGTAAAGTTAATTCGAAACTGATCAGATCCTCTGAAACTAATGAAATTTTGACTAATCCAAAAGATATATGTGATGAGTGGCGATCTTATTTCGAAAAGCTTTCCACCCCCTCCCAGAGTAATGATTTTGATCACCAGCATGAGATAATGGTTAACAATGCTATAGACCGCATGCTAGCAGAGTCATATTTGAATGGTAACACAATTTTATCTGACCCTCTGACTTTAAAAGAGGTATCTCATGCAATTGATTCACTTAACCTTAAACGTGCTACTGGATTTGACAATGTTTCCGCCGAGCACTTAAGGTATGGTGGTACTCAGGTTCAACAGGTAGTTAAGATCCTGCTTCAAAGCATTATTGATAATGAATTTATTCCTAACAACTTTCAAATTGGTATACTATTGCCTCTTCTCAAATCAGGTATCCGGGATCCACTAGAAAAAGACAATTTTAGGGGGATTACCCTCATGTCTGTTCTTAGGAAGGTTTTTGATAATATCCTTCTGATCAGAAGCAAGCCAGTTATCCTAACAAATATCCCCCAGTTACAAGGGGCATCTCAATCTAATTGCTCATCGATCCATACATCCCTGATTGTACAAGAGACAATAGCTCATAATCTTGACAAAGGTAATAATGTATACTTGTCTACAATTGATATCCGCAAGGCCTTCGATACTGTGTGGCTTAACGGGCTTCTTTTTAAGTTATTTAACATTGGCATAAATGGTAAATTGTGGAGACTCCTTCGAGAATCTTACAAAAATTACAAGTGCATGGTACGTGTGGATACACTCTCTGCTCCGTTCTGTGTACTTCAAGGAGTTCATCAGGGCGGGGTATATTCTATGTTAATGTACCAATTATATAACGCTGACTTAATCCTAGAATTGCAATCGTTAAAGTTGGGTGCATTAGTTGGTGGGTTGGATATCACATGTCCAGTTTACGCCGATGATACATCAATACTTACTACAAGCACGACATCTATGAATGCACTGTTAAATTCGGCATACAATCACAGCCGTAAGTGGCGATATGATATCCATCCTGATAAATGTAATGTGATGATTTTCGGAAATAATCACCACGCTGTACAGCCTACGTTCAAAATTGGCGACAAGCAGGTGACTATTGTGCAAAATCAAACCCATGTAGGTATACCCTTATCAACTAGTGGAAGCGTTTCCGAATATGTTGAGAAGGCTGTTACGTCTGGTAAAAGGAAATATTTCTCTCTACTTGGTCTAGGGAGTACTTGTGGTGGACTCAATCCTCTAACGGCATCACGCCTTTATTGGACGCTGTCTATCCCTACAATGCTATACGGTAGTTCAATCATTTCTTATTCGAATAATGATGTTGAATTAATCCAAACAGCCCATAGGCAGATTGGAAAACGCATTCAATGTCTTCCTAAATTTGCTGATAATGTATTTTCAACTGATCCATTGGGCTGGATGGACATCGAGTATAAAATCGCCTTAGATAAATTAATGTTCTTCCTTATGTTGATAACACTACCGGTAAAAAATATTTACAAGCAGGTCTTTCTTTATCGAGCTACGGAATTCCAATATAATGGTCACGGTGGTGCTGCGTCACCACTTAATACAATATGGAATGTTTTAAGCAGATTTAATCTTTTAGATGCTGCAACTAATATGATAAACACAGGTGTCTACCCATCAAAGGGAATATGGCGTAAATTAGTTTTAGGTAGGCTACGTCAAAGCCAAAATGCAACGTTTATGATTAAATGTGCTATAAAAAGTGCAACACATTTGTATGTAAGTGTAAAATGCTCTGCTCAGCCACTTAAATGGTGGGCACTCAGTTTCAAATACCCTAGTGATTTAAAATATTGCAAATTAATGGTCAATTTGCTTATGAACCAAACACTCAATGGAAATAAAAAATGGGGTGACAGAAAATGTAATATATGTGATACTGGCGAAATAGAAACATTGGATCACTTTTTACGTTTCTGCAATTCCATAGATGCGGAAAGAGTTGCACTTCTCAATTTATTTAGAATTGGTAATGATGACATTATATTTCAAACTTTCAAATCAGACAATGATGAAGCAATGATTTTAAAAGCCAAAGCTGTATTTCTAATGTATGCAAAGCGTAACATGCTTATGCAAATGTGATTTTATTGTTAATGCAAAACAAAAATTGTAAATGTACTCACAATGACACTTGTGGTAATAAAGGATACAATACAATACAATAAGGGTTATGTACTGGGAGGTTTTGGATATGGGGTTTATCCAGAGGGAGATATGCATATCTACCTGAGGGACCGTAGGGACCGAAGGTAGATGTGCATATCTCACGAGGGATGAACCCTATATCCAAACCGACTGTACATAACTGTTTTATCCTATACCAAGTAGAGTTTTCAGGGGCATATGGCCATTTCAATAGTACAAGGTGTAAAAATAAACAAATCATTCATATGCAAAGTCATTTTATTGCATTACCGGAAGCGGGAAGATATGCACCGGAAGCGGGAAGATATGCACCGAAGCGGGAGATATGGCGGGAGATATGGAGGTTCTGGATATGGAAACCTCAAAATCAGGATAAGGGATATATCTTACCAGCTTATCTCCCTAAAACTCTACTTGGCATAGGATAAACAGGCATATCATATGGATATCAGGCATGTCATATTTGAAATCGACATGTAAAAGTACATTTAGAAATATGGTTTCGAAAATTATTCATATCAATTTAATTATTTTTGAAAATGTGACTTCTAGTTCGGGGAGATTCCCATGTTCTAAAATTCCAAAAAGTGAATTATTTTTTATTGTATCGGACAGTTGATATTTTCTTTTACATTTTAATTTTCATAACTATTCGATACATAAGGCTGATATGAAAATTGAACCACTTAAACTGATGAATATTTAAGTTAAAGGGAATTTTCTACTATACCCGCCATGCTATCTGACCCGAATGAGCCACCTGGAACTATGAGTTATATCATACATGTCATATATTAAATTGACTAGAACCTCTGTGGACTCTGTAGGTATGTGATATGTACATCTGTTATGTACAGTCAGTTTTGGATACAGAGTTTATCCCTCGGGAAATGTGTGTATCTCCCGAGGGACCAAGTGAGATAATCTCACTCGGTCCTTCGGGAGATAGACATATTCCTCTGGGATAAACCCTGTATCCAAAACCTACCAGTACATAACCCTTATTTATCCCATACTTGGACATGTTACAGGTACATAAAGCCGGTTTGTGAAAACTTATATTTTCATCAGTGGGCAGATATAGCTCTACGGCCCTCTGGCAGATATATTATATTGGCCTCGGGATAATCCCAATATCCTGAACCTCATATAGGATAATCAGTAGTAATAGTCCGAGTAAATGATAATGCAATTTTAGGCACCAAATCAGGCACGAACTTTGACCCCAGACAATTACCGAACGTTACGCCTACGTACGCCTACGCCTTACCCACGGGGCCGCATGGAGACTGGAACCTACAGTTTAGTGACGTCTTTCATGGTTCCGTCCTATAGGACCCGATGATGAAATCTGATGAAATATGGGATTCCCCAACGTTTCTCGATCGTACCCCAACGTAATACGGGATTCCCAAACGTTTCCCGAACGTTTGACTTCCGTGGATGACTGATTGGTCGCTTGACTTCCGGAGTGAGGTCAGTGTGAATTTTCTCGGATGAGAAGCTCTGCTTGGTCAAATACGAATGATACAGTTTCGTAAAAGTAAAACGATTCTCGAACGTTTAGACGATATCCAAACGTCTTTTTGACGTCAGTGTTCCGTGGA